GTGCATTGTGCTGCAGGGAGACCTGTGGCTTCAGGGCAGGTACAAGGATGGTACAAGAAGCAAGCACAGACATTTCTCCTCCCTGGTGTCTAGCAGTTTGAGATGTGACACCCGTACAGAATTTTATTCCTGTGCCTTCCACTCTCTGATTTCAGGCTGGAGTGGGTCAGATGCAACTGCTGGATCTACACCAAGGCATTTAAACCACAAATCACCATCCCAGGCTTTGTGGAGCCTAAATTCTAATGGAACAAGTTCAACTTTCAATGGTTCAGATTTTCTTCCCAGGACTTCTCTGGATATAAATTTTAGGATCGGTAAGAAAAACAGTGTGCACTGCATAGAATAGAATGCAATAGGTTTCATATGGTGACTGTCAAATCCCAATCAATGGAAATAATTAGGAAACCTTTCACTGCTTTGTCTGTGCCAGGCTTCAGTTTGGGGCTAATGGCTACATTACAGATGGCTTTTGCTGTACTAAGGAAAGTAAGAAAGTCCTTAAGATCCTGTTATGGCTCTCCTCCAAAAGGAAGGGAACTCTCTGCTCAGCTTCCACCTTAGGCACCCAAGAGATATTCTACCCTGGGCCAGCCGTCTGTCATTCCCACGGGACGTACTCCCAGTTAGGGAGCACTACAGTCTATCTCAGGCATTCCCAAAAGAGCAAAGATCTTGGGATTACAGAAAGCTGAACAGGATCTGCTCTGAGCCTGTTTAATCTAGAAGAATCCCAGCAGGAGGCTTTGCCTTCCAAGATGGAGAAATTGTTGCAGATCCATATTCTGCAAAAGAAAAGTCTTTATAGGAATTCTGACCTGAGCACCAAACATACCTGGGTTTTTTTTGGAAACATGCTGATTTCTGTTATTTTCCCGAAGATGTTAAACCAGTGAGTTCTGCATAGACAGGGTTCTTTCTAAATATATTAAACCAAATTATCATTACGGATATTTTTCCCCAATTCTTTCCAATAGCTGAAGTTCATTACAACCCCAGTGCTGTACCTCCAGAAGATGGTGAGACCAAACATCCTTGCTCACGAAGAATACTCCCCATGGATTCAGGGCTGCACTATCCACAGAAAGCAAGTTTTTTTCATTGATACTGAGTTTGTTTTCATCTGATTATCTAGCGATGGTTCTCTTTTGTGGCATGTAGAAATAAACATTGATCTAAATAATTACTCCTAATGTACTCTGAACACCACTATAGAGCTAAAACATCCCATGATTCAATTCTCTAGGCTTCAGTGGAGTGGCAGTACTGACCACATAAGGATTTGGTCCCCCTGTGTTTCCAGGATTATCCTTCATGTTAAACAGAGACTGGAAACATTCTCTTCCTCATCATTAGCCCTCCTCATAGTTTGTCCTCTTTTTTTTTCTCTTTACACCCTCCTGCCATCCCTCTGCTCCCTTTTTCATCTGATACTTATCCTCAGAACCTAATACCCCTAAAATTGAGTTTCAAGACATATTTCTGAGCCTGTTGACTGTCTCAGGCATGGATGTCTAGGTTCCTCAATCAGTATCTTTCCTTTTTCTGAGATGGACTTTGATCAACTTACACATTAAGAAATTGGACTCAGCTTTCCAAGATGTTCCTTGCAGTTGTATGTTTTTATTTTCAGACGTGCTGGCACTGGTGACTTGGATTAAGCTCTCTAAAGAGATGTAGATGCCTGTTTAAATGTTTGAACATCTTGCCCAGTAGCTTCAAATGGAATGTGGCAACAAGAAAAACTAAATTCCCACCTCTAATGGGTATCAGTGTGTACAATCGAGGTTTCAGACTACCTCTCCTGCAAAAAAACCCCGAAACAGAACAACAGCAGATAAAATCCTACCATCTTTGGAGGTGGCAATTAAGAAGTTTGCTGTTTAGTAAAACTTTGCTGTGAATATAGCAGGAGGTAAACTCCATTTCATAACATCACAAGAGAGACTTAAGATTTCTCTCCTACTAAAGACGGGCTTTCTTTCAGCAAATGTGTTTGTATTGATAACCTGCGTGCTCAACTGAATCCTTGTTTCAGTTTTGAATGCCTTTCACTGTATCATTCAAGTAAAGATTTTTTGATGATTGCTAATACAGTAAAATACTAACCTGTACCAATGACAGAGAAGTAAAAAAATACAATGGAGCGATGTCTTAGAGCTGGTATGTACGATAGCAAATACAAAAGGTTCTTTCATTCTGTGAATAACTCCCACACAGCAATTAGTGGAAAAAGATTAATATTTCAATGTACAGTAACTACAGCCAGCCTACTTGAAATTAGACAGATCACCTTCAGTTCCTTGGCTTTCTGGGAGAAATATTAGCATTAAAAACATGCAAACAAGTTCCACTTCATACTCACTTGTTTCTCACTTGAAATTGCTTTCAATGAGAAAGAAATTGAATATAAAATAGAGTTCAGTATGTCGGACACTTGAACTATCATCCTCTGCTTGTATTCTTTATTTTCATTAGTAAACTCTTTGTTCCACAATCTGCCACTGAATATGAGTCTTCTCTGCTTTGCAATGAGAAGCAGGACACGCTGTGCCATGGTGCTGGGTGCTATGGCTGTGCCTGACTCCCCTTGCACCCCTAATCTGGCTGCTGCACACACCGGGAGGGTCCTGTGAGGGTGAGGAAGGAGGCTGTGGAGGTCTTTGGAGGAACTGGAGCATTAGTCCGCCCCTGAGTCCCTTTTACATCAGTTTGTCTCTGCTATGATATCAGTAAGTCTAAGGGATGGACAGTCTGACTACGTTTCCTTCCCTACCATCCTGCTTTGACCTTCACTGTCCTCCCTTTGTGCAGTAATTCTTTCTGCATACACTTTATAGGACAGAAGGGAATAGCCTTAAATTTAGACTAGACATTAGGTAACAATTTCTGATTTTAAGGAATTAGTGGTCTAGAGAGAACATGGAATCGCCGTCACTGCAGGTCTTAAAAAACACTCACAGTGGTACAACAAATATCTGCTAGAATTGGTATAAGTAAAGTTGATTTTGCCTTAGGGCAAAGGATGGACTGGAAGCCCTGTTGAAAGTCCTCCCAACCCTATTTTCAATTACTCTAATTGAAAATAAAAAGGCAGCAAAAGAGGATCAACATGAGAGCACCATGAGACTTGCCTCGTCATCTGCATACTGTAATTGTTTTATTACATTCCTGATAAAAGATGAAATGTACCTTGATTTTGTAAAGTTTTTGCTAAATACCCTCATAACATTATTCAATGATTAGGAGCAGCAGAGATTTGGATAAAAGCTGGACAAGCAGTGAGAAAAGTGGTGGAATACTCAAGACTTCTCAGGCTGCCAAGAAATGGCTGGAAATGCCATTTCTTGGGCAGATCCGTCAGGACGTTTCCTGCTTTGGAGGTCTAACAGCGGGAAGAAGAGCAAGCTGTATGGCATGGAGTGGTGTCAGGTCTCCATTCTTCTATTGATCTTTTTTCTATTCAAAAAGCAAAATCTGGAAGTAAATTTTTAAAAACCTGTCAACATGCTTTTGTAAAATGCAAAGCGCTATTTGTTCTGGGAAGGCGGTTAGCTCACTTCCACTCTCCATCATATGCCTAATGGCTTTTCTTGCTAAACAGTGTATCATTTATGTTTCAAGCATGGCATTGTTTAGGTTGTCAGCTGGAATGAAGATGTGTAATTTTCTTTGGGCTGAAATAATATCTTCCGCGCCGACACCATTACATTTGCTTTTCTCCAACATATCTAAGCTGACATTCTGTCACAGAATTGTGCATTGATGGTTTTCACAGAGAGAGGACATACACAAAGACAAATCTAATAAAAAATTGTTATGCGCTTCTGATTCACATCCTAATAATTTTAAGTGTTGGGAACAGCTTCTGCAGCTCTGGCTTGAACGTGACCTGACGGGCAGCGGTGCGTTACCGGTACAAACGCATCCTCCTCCCCACGGTTCTGATTGTGTCAGTTGACTCTGCTCGTTCTCTGAGAAAGCAGCAATCTAAAAGCTCCTTTGATTTCTAAGTCATTCTCATTTACTCCCAGATTGTTTATTTTTAGCGATACGTACACCAGGAAATGCGTGCTCTATTTTAAACCAATGAAAGAAGCATTTCTGAAAGTATATTTATCTATGAAGACAATTATTTGAAGTCAGATCTCAATGGGTTTTTAACAATAGGTTAGACGATGCAAAAGAAATAAAAAATGATAGTAAAATTACTGCAGCGGCTGTAGTGACTCAGGCAAAACCCTCCCCACTCCCATCTTGCTATTTAGACAAAACTCCACCACCCTTCGTACCGACGAAGTCAGTGGGTGCAGAGCCGAGGTGTAGGCAGCTCACTCAAGGGTCCCTGGAGACCTTCTATGTCTCCGCATGGACAAGTGGCCAAAGCTGCCTTCTAGCTCAATGTATGCACAGCACTTTGATAACCATGTGATAGATAAATATTACATAGGATGACTGTTAAAGGTCAGTACAGGTTGTTTACGTTTTCTTCTGACAGTTTA